AGGTCAGGATACCAGAAATGACGAGTTAAATACAAAGCCGAGGTCAGAATACCAGAAATGACGAGTTAAATACAAAGCCGAGGTCAGAATACCAGAAATCACGAGTTAAATACGAAGCCGGGGTCAGGATACCAGAAATCACGAGTCAGATACGAAGCCGAGGTCAGGATACCAGAAAGCACGAGTTAAATACGAAGCCGGGGTCAGGATACCAGAAATCACAAGTCAAATAAGAAGCCACGGTCAGGATACCAGAAATCACAAGTCAAATACAAAGCCACGGTCAGGATACCAGAAATCACAAGTCAAATACGAACCCAGGGTCAGGATCCCAGAAATAACGAGTTAAATACGAAGCCGGGGTCAGGATACCAGAAATCACGAGTTAAATACGAAGCCGAGGTCAGGATACCAGAAATCACAAGTCAAATTCGAAGCCGGGGTCAGGATTTCAGAAATCACGAGTCAATACGAAGCCGAGGTCAGGATACTAGAAATCACGAGTCAAATTCGAAGCTGGGGTCAGGTTTTCAGAAATCACGAGTCAAATACAAAGCCGTGTCAGGATACCAGAAATCACAAGTCAAATACGAAGCCAGGTCAGGATACCAGAAATCACAAGTCAAATAGGAAGCCATGGTCAGGATACCGGAATTCACAAGTTAAATACAAAGCCGAGGTCAGGATACCAGAATTCATGAGTTAAATACAAAGCCGAGATCCGGATACCAGAAATCACGAGTCAAAAACGAAGCCGAGGTCAGGATACCAGAAATCACGAGTTAAATACGAAGCCGAGGTCAGAATACCAGAAATCACGAGTTAAATACGAAGCCGAGGTCAGAATACCAGAAATCACGAGTTAAATACGAAGCCGAGGTCAGGATACCAGAAATCACGAGTTAAATACGAAGCCGAGGTCAGAATACCAGAAATCACGAGTTAAATACGAAGCCGAGGTCAGGATACCAGAAATCACGAGTCAAAAACGAAGCCGAGGTCAGGATACCAGAAATCACAAGTCGAATATGAAGCCGAGGTCAGAAATCACGAGTTAAATAGAAAGCCGAGATCCGGATACCAGAATTCACGAGTTAAATAGAAAGCCGAGATCCGGATACCAGAAATCACAAGTCGAATATGAAGCCGAGGTCAGAAATCACGAGTTAAATAGAAAGCCGAGATCCGGATACCAGAAATCACGAGTTAAATACGAAGCCGAGGTCAGGATACCAGAAATCACGAGTTAAATACGAAGCCGGGGTCAGGATACCAGAAATCACGAGTCAAAAATGAAGCCGAGGTCAGGATACCAGAAATCACGAGTTAAATACGAAGCCGAGGTCAGGATACCAGAAATCACGAGTTAAATACGAAGCCGGGGTCAGGATACCAGAAATCACGAGTTAAATACGAAGCCGGGGTCAGGATACCAGAAATCACGAGTCAAAAATGAAGCCGAGGTCAGGATACCAGAAATCACAAGTCGAATATGAAGCCGGGGTCAGGATACCAGAAATGACGAGTCAAAAACGAAGCCGGGGTCAGGATACCAGAAATCACAAGTCTAATATGAAGCCGAGGTCAAACACAGGAAATCACAGGGGAATCTCTAGGAGCACTAAATGAGGATCCAACAGAACCCATGATAGCACAGTAAGTAAACGCTAGAACAGGCCTTAAATAGGTTCAGAAGAGATCACATTGGTCCACGTCATGTCTGCGACCCCAAACAGCATTGGATCGCCTAGATTATGTGGTCCCTTTTAAGGTTGTGACGTCATGGGAATAATTTATTGAAGGAGCTGCAGTTCGGCCCCAGCAGAGGGAGTTGTTTGCCGAAGCAAAGGTGAGTATACTATTCAGGCTGTGCAGCCTAAGGACTGCAGTAGTGCAGCACCGCCTGACCTGAAGAGAGGAGCGGTGCGGGCACCAGGTACAGGTAAGTTTGTGACACTTTGTTATTAAGAGTTGTCTTTAAAAGTACTGAAACAGAAATAAGGTAGTCAAACCACCATCCTGAATCTGATGCTTTCTTGTCCTGTAGTAAATCAGACCCCCCTTGATCATAGAGGTGTTTGGAGGCAGATACATATAACCACATAGCACTGCTTATGTGGCTCTGGTGTACAACCACATCCAGGACAATAATACAGGAAGACAATGTAAGTGCCTACCAACTGCTCCATATTTAGTATTATCAGTAGAGAGAGATAACTCTGGACAAATCTGTTAATTTGGCCATTCACATTGATGGAGAATTGGGCTATTCATACTGCTAGCAGAGGATTCTCATTGATAGAGTAAGCAGCTACCTTACTGACATAGGTACAGCCTGAAAGACCACATTACTTGAGGTGGGCACCCAAATATTCTGTGGCAATTAACACTATTACACGTGTCACATAAACCTAGCCAAGTTTGTAACCTGCTATGTAAATGCAGACTCTGTAAGACCATTATTACTATTCGTATAAAAGTTTATATATTTATATATATATATATCTATATCTAATTAGGTTTTTGGTTACATTTTCCTCTTTGGATAGTGGTTTGCTGGGACATGAAGAGATTTGTGGAAACTCTAAACAGAGGACTTAACTTTAAATCCTAAAAGCAATTCTAAACTACCACGGATTATTCCAAACTACCACGGATCATTCCAAACTACCACGGATCATTCTAAACTACCACGGATCATTCCAAACTACCACGGATCATTCTAAACTACCACGGATCATTCTAAACTACCACGGATCATTCCAAACTACCACGGATCATTCTAAACTACCACGGATCATTCCAAACTACCACGGATCATTCCAAACTACCATAGATCATACTAAACTTTCCTAGATAATACTGAACTGATCCAGATCATTTTAAACCCTTTGACTTTATCATTGAGAGTGCATAGAATTGCTCGTGGACCACAAAATAATATTGGAATGACCTAAACCTTTTAAGCAAAAAATAATTCTGAAATCAACACAAATACACTTTTCCTGAAACAAAAATGTATCAATTGTGTGTGTGGCAGGAAACTATATTTTCTCATTTACAGATCACAGATTGTACAATCAAGTCTTGTTTAAGTTATTCTGTGTTTCTGCCATTTGCCTTGGATGGACTGGCTTCCTTCTCACTCACACTGGGCTTCCTGGGTTCCAGTATAATCCAATATCGTGTGGAAATTCGCAGATATGTCTCTAAATCTCACTCCAACTTCTTTTTGCAAATTTCTGTTTTGCAGATCTTTATCCAACAAACCAGGTATATTCTTTCACATTCTGATTGCTAGAATTGACAAACTCCAGTATGTTGCTGTAGATCTTGTCTGTAAACAAACACTCTTACATATCCCATGAAACCTGAGAGCTGGTTCTCTCAGAGTCTAGAGTTTTCACCTCAAAAGAGTTAAAAAACAAAAAAAACACGTTGGTAAAGTTTATGTGCATCATTTCTGGATAACTTGCTTTAATGTAACTTCATGGCACACACGGTGGGGTACCATATAACATGTCCTCCTACGAGATTCGCAAGTGGAGTGATATGCTTATCTAAAAATTAATTTCCCCTTAATCCCAAAACTTGTTTTCCTAACCAGAAACTCGCTTATCATACCTGCATCAAAAAGGAAGCGCTTCTGGCATCGGATAGCATCCATGCTTATATACGGACCCTGCTGTAGATAAGGAGTGTGGAGGGTAGGAGACTGGCCGCAATGAACCCATTTATTAAAGCAACCTTGACTTTATGGCATGGCTTCAGCACAAAGTATCACCTGACTATGAAGCCAGTCTGGAGTTCCCCACAGGCATACACAGTTCTTTCCAGACTTTGCTGTCGATTCCCTCAAATGGTAGATGTGCGGCCCGTGTTTGAGCTTTTTTCTGAGGCACCACACACTTTTCTATACGTACACACAACATTGTGTATGTCTCCTTAATTCCTTAGAAAACAAGCCTGACATGATGGAGTTCGAATCTCGATGCCTTCAGGAATCAATGGCACCCAGGAGCATCTAAAAAATTTATGGAATGCTGGTGGAGGGTCGATACCTCTTAGTGCCTTCATGAATTGGAAAGTGGGAGGAGAGCATTCAGATGACCTTGTCTAATAAGAAATGGGATAAGATGACGCTCCTAGTGCAAAAGATCCTCATACAAGATAACTCATACAAAGTATTCACACTCTGGTATTTGACGTCTGCAGCACTACATGGGCAGGACCCTTCTGTGCCAGAGGCATGCTGGCGCTGCGGAGAAGACTTTATTAGATTTCCGACATGTGGTGGGACCGCCGATTGATACGCCTGTATTGGGCTAGAGTGGATAAGATCCTTAGGGATCTATCAGAAGTATCTCCAGTGTTTGAACTCGCACTATCCCTTCAACATCACACCCAGGCGCACAAGACATCAGTGGTACCGGGGTTGTTAAACGCAGCGAAAGGGATAATCCCGGTATTCTGGAGACCGTCTTGCACACCGCCACTGCAACGCTGGGTGGATGAGGTTGAACATATGAAAAAGTGTTAGGTTTCTGCGAAAGAAAGAAATATACATTGAAATATATAAACACGCTGGTTTTATTGGCCTCTGAGCTTATGTCATCCGCAAATTTTGCAAAATTTTTGTCCAAAGTAAAGAGGTAGTGTCTGGACAGGCTGGGATGTAATTTGGTGCTCAGCAGGAAGGGGCTCTCCTGGGATGATGTCCCACCTGGATCTGTTCAACACTCCTCTTAACAACCTAACTTTCTGCCTCACCCTCACCCCTTTTTTTTTTTTTATATTCTTTATTTTTGGAGTGCAGCAGAAACAAACATTGTGTGACAATGACATATAGTTAAGTTGCATTATAAAAGATTACAGGCTTCAAGTATAAACACAGTATGTCAAGAGAAACTGCACACATTTTTTGGTTGAAAATGTAAAACAAGAATTAGTTGCTGCGCCAGCGTTTACATACATGCTTATTATATCATGTCGAGATGGCCAAGCGTTGTACATCACATTGGTAAGATCTGAGACATGGCTTGCTAAGGACTTGCATTATTACAGGCTATAATAATAGGCTAATGAAGACGTAATTTAGTTGGAGCTGTTATTACCACTGGGAGACCAGGCCCTGCTGCAGAAATGATTGGGGCACCTTCACTAAATAAAATAAGGTAAAACAATTTAAAGTGATGTGGCTGACAGAGGCTTAGCAGAGGCTCACTGGTTGAGCTGAGTTAAACAAAGGGCACAACATTTTGTAGGTGTCTAATTTTTTAGCTGTATCATTTTATAATAATAAAGACATCAGGCCACAGTTCTATCCTGTCAGGTGGCTGGTAAGAGTAAAAGGACAGAACTGCAGCTTTGCAGTGGGAGATAAAATGGTCACCTCGAGGGCCCTTGCGGCCGTGTTCTAGCTCGGTTGGTGAGGTCAGTTTATCATTGGTGCTGGATCTTGCCTGTGTAGTCCCCATATTGTGCAGGCACATAGGCAAAATGTCCACGTGAGTGTCTGCTCCGCCAGTGTCCTCTGAGTGCTTCTCAAGCTACTGCTGCATGCCGGCTGTCAGGTGTGCATCGCGGCTCTTTCATGGCAGGTTGGGGAAGGTTGTCTGGCATTTTGGCAGGGGTGTGCGTCTCTTTACGTTGGAGACCAGTTCCCCGTCTCGGCTGAAAGGTAGGGTTTTGTCCGTGGAGTGTCGCTTGCCTTTTCCGTGGGGGGAATGGTGGCTCGCTTTGCCGGCTTCTGGCCTGCTGAGGTGCTGCAATGCGTGCAGGTGGCTATTTGTTGTTGGTTTCTGGACAGTCGGTACTTAAATCTGTGCTGTCAGGCTTGAGCGTGGGGGAAGAATATTCCTTTTCACTGCTGTTAGCGCACCTGGCTTCCACCATTTTGGGCGAGGTGCCGAGGTCACCGATCTGGGTGCTCTTGTTACTGGGTCTTGATTGTGTTGTAGCGGTCGGTGTCCCAGGGCAAGGACCAGGTTCACCCCCCCGGTCCAGAGGGGGGAAACAGGGCCAGTTCAACTCTGCTCTGGGCCTTCAGGTCAGGCATTGTTAGGTGGGATAGTTGGGCAGTGCCCGTCCGCCCCACTCACCGCCGGAGTAGGCCCCATCAGGGGCTTCAAAGATTCCTCCTCCTCCAGGGAACTGAAGCTTGAGAAGCCAGCCTCTCCCTGGATCCAGTGCCTCCTTTGGGCTGATGGTCTTTGCTGTCGGTCAGCTTTTAAGTTGAAATTTGTAGTTTTAGAGGCTTAAAGTTTAGAAAATTGCAGGAGCTGTTCATTCTTGTGACTGTCCAGCTCGGCGGTCTGGCCCCGCCCCCACCCTCACCCCTTTTTTATCTTCTCCCATCCCTCCCATTTATCTTGTTTTATTTGTGGTCCATGAGGAAGTCCCATATTGTGTCTTGTTTTTATATATTTTAGAATTGATTTAAATAAAGCAAACATTTTTGAATACCTAACCCAAGTCTGAGAACATTATCCATGAAGTGGGAACATTAAAAGGGAACAGAAGGAGGATGAGCTCCTTGAGATCTCCTCAGATATCTAAGGCGAGGCACCAAGAGGCCATTTAACTACCACCCATTTTGTAAGTGCATTTCTCTCTGCGCCGTGTTTACATTTATATTAACTGTGTTACACTATCTTATAATATATTTTTTGTAGATATCATCAGTTGTATTCCCCCTGTATTCAATATTGGGGACATTTGCTGGGATACCCCCTGATGAAAGCTATATATAACAGAATGGCAAGATAAATGCATTTATTCCCTAAGTAACACTGAGGGTGAGGTTGTGGGCTTGGGTATATATCCAGCTCGGTCAGGGCGAGTTGGTGGGGTGGAGTATCCTCCAAAGTGATTGAGACCCTGAATTTGGATTGTAGAATATAGGAGAGAGATGCTCAGCATTTGGAAGGCCGCTGCTCATGTGGGTTAGTACAATAAGTTCCATAGTGCTATTAACACATCGTTCATACCTGAGTTTGACAGATGTTCTTTGAGACGGATGGTATGCTCATTGTTAATAACTAAACATGTAACATCTGCTTTATCCCTGGTTTTCTTTCTGTTATGATTCTGCTGCAGCTTCCCTTGTACAGGAAGAATTCCTAAAATGAAAGTCTATTGAAAACAAAAATTAAGCGCTCATCTTAATGTTTGATGGTAGAGAAGCTTCCACAGACCAAGCCAGTGACACAATGTACATTATTGATGATGCATGGTGTCCAGAAATAGGGAGCAAGCCAGTATGCCCCAAACCTGACTAGCAGGGCCTCCCACGTACAGAGTGACATTTTCTTGTACACATAGAAATGCCTTGCACAGCATGATGTGCTGCTTGGGCCCAGCTTTTTGGGTTCAACATCTAAGGAATCCAGAGAAGGTCCCTAGGACAGAGTGACAGCGGTTTGCTATATCAGTTCTGCACCATGAGATCCTATGGTGTTAAAGATGTGACTTGTTTTTGTTTCTAATAAACCCTCTATAGATCAAGTCATGTTCCCACTATAGGATGGATCTACCTGTGAACAGCAAAGTTATTAATTGGAACCATGTCATCGTGTGATCCCTATTATATCTGACTACAATAGCGAGCTGTGTTTGCAAGCTAACAATAAGGTTATACCAAGGTCAGCGTGAAACAAGAGCCCATGTCTTCTGCCAGATGAAAGGAAGCATAAGTCTAAAGTCAAGCAAGCAGGAATTTATAGAAACCAACTCACCGAGAGACAGGTACAGCGGACATTGGGAAACAAAGGCCTTTATTTACTAAACTGGGGATTGTGCAGAATTGCAGATTGAAGGCCAAAATAACTGATTTGGAAAATGCTTCCTGTCTAGCCATTTTCATTAAAATGTAGTAATTCCATGTCAGTTCGGCACAATTCACCCCAAAGTGATGCTTTTAGAGCTGCGTTGCCTGTAAAGCTCACAGCAGCAGAAAGAATTGCATGAGCTGCAATCAGTGTATTATCCCCTGCCCTTGTGTTGACATAACAAGGGAACTATAACTATTAAAGAGTGAAATTCATTCATTGCAGAGGAACTTGTGCCGCCTGTCACCACGTTCTAAAAAGTAGCATTTAAATATTACTATTTTAATCACTTAGAATATTTTAAGTGTGAATGTGTATAACCACATCTTTTTAAGCAGATCATTTAAAAAAAAAACAAAAAAACTTTTTGTATTTTTTTGATGTTATGTCCTCAGGGAGCAGAAAAAAAATTACCCAAATCACTGACCAAAATGGTGATACAATTCACAATCTCACACTCCACAGGAAGACCTCACAGTAATGTGCAGTGTATGAGTGTATCGGAGAGCTGCACAGCAGTAAACTTTACAGTAATGTGCAGTGTATGAGTGTATCGGAGAGCTGCACAGCAGTAAACGTTGCAGTAATGTGCAGTGTATGAGTGTATCGGAGAGCTGCACAGCAGTAAACGTTACAGTAATGTGCAGTGTATGAGTGTATCGGAGAGCTGCACAGCAGTAAACGTTGCAGTAATGTGCAGTGTATGAGTGTATCGGAGAGCTGCACAGCAGTAAACGTTGCAGTAATGTGCAGTGTATGAGTGTATCGGAGAGCTGCAAAGCAGTAAACTTTACAGTAATGTGCAGTGTATGAGTGTATCGGAGAGCTGCACAGCAGTAAACGTTGCAGTAATGTGCAGTGTATGAGTGTATCGGAGAGCTGCAAAGCAGTAAACTTTACAGTAATGTGCAGTGTATGAGTGTATCGGAGAGCTGCACAGCAGTAAACTTTACAGTAATGTGCAGTGTATGAGTGTATCGGAGAGCTGCACAGCAGTAAACTTTACAGTAATGTGCAGTGTATGAGTGTATCGGAGAGCTGCACAGCAGTAAACTTTACAGTAATGTGCAGTGTATGAGTGTATCGGAGAGCTGCACAGCAGTAAACGTTGCAGTAATGTGCAGTGTATGAGTGTATCGGAGAGCTGCACAGCAGTAAACTTTACAGTAATGTGCAGTGTATGAGTGTATCGGAGAGCTGCACAGCAGTAAACTTTACAGTAATGTGCAGTGTATGAGTGTATCGGAGAGCTGCACAGCAGTAAACGTTGCAGTAATGTGCAGTGTATGAGTGTATCGGAGAGCTGCACAGCAGTAAACGTTGCAGTAATGTGCAGTGTATGAGTGTATCGGAGAGCTGCACAGCAGTAAACGTTGCAGTAATGTGCAGTGTATGAGTGTATCGGAGAGCTGCACAGCAGTAAACTTTACAGTAATGTGCAGTGTATGAGTGTATCGGAGAGCTGCACAGCAGTAAACTTTACAGTAATGTGCAGTGTATGAGTGTATCGGAGAGCTGCACAGCAGTAAACGTTACAGTAATGTGCAGTGTATGAGTGTATCGGAGAGCTGCACAGCAGTAAACTTTACAGTAATGTGCAGTGTATGAGTGTATCGGAGAGCTGCACAGCAGTAAACTTTACAGTAATGTGCAGTGTATGAGTGTATCGGAGAGCTGCACAGCAGTAAACTTTACAGTAATGTGCAGTGTATGAGTGTATCGGAGAGCTACACAGCAGTAAACGTTACAGTAATGTGCAGTGTATGAGTGTATCGGAGAGCTGCACAGCAGTAAACGTTACAGTAATGTGCAGTGTATGAGTGTATCGGAGAGCTGCACAGCAGTAAAGTATTTTGAGTGTTTCCATTATAAAAGTGGCCCATATGACCAAACCAAGCCGCACCATTCCTGGGCCCCCTTCAGTTGTAGGTCCATAGGAAATGGTACGGTACGGTTAGGGCGGAGCTACTGGCGTTACACAATACATTCCATTGATTTGGCGGACAGAAAAATATCACTGCTCACGTCAAAGGCAAGCGCGAAGCAAACACCACGTCGCCATTCAGTCCAGATAATAGGAGAAGGATGCCTGCGAACTACAGCAAGGTCTGGTCGGCTGTGGAACTATCCACTTTCCTAACTAAGATTAGCGATAGCGTTATTCAAAGTGAGATTGATGGATCAGTGAGAAATTATATTTCTCAGCAGAGGGCAGCCAAGGGATTTGAACGGACGTCGGTTCAGTGTAGGGTAAAGCTTAAGAAGCTAAAAGGCCAATATAAAAAAATTAAGGACTCCAACAGCCGTAGTGGAAACAGTCAAAGTACTTGGAGGTAGTACGACGCCATAGTCGCCATTTATGGTCACAGGCCGGCAAACCCTGGCAGGGAGGGAGGTCTGGAATCGGCCTCTGCACTTCTCGAGTCCATTATGGAGCCCG